AAATAAAATGAGTTGCCAAGTGCATTGTAGGAAAAAAAGTCTATTTACCCACTTCAGATGCCAGTCGCAAGTCCAGGTTGTCACCTGTGCTGCTGACCGGAGGTTCCATGACCCCCTCCCTCAGGTTCAATTAATTTGCTAGAGTCACTCACAGAACTCAGGGAAGTACTTACTTACTACCACTTTATTAAAGGGCACAGATGAACACCCAGACGAAGAGATACATAGGCCGAGGTCTTGGGAGGGTCCTGAGTGCAGGAGTGTCTGTCCCTGTGGAGTTGGGGTGTGTCACTCTCCCAGTGTGGATGTGTTCACATCCACAATCTGGAAGCTTTCTGAATCCGGTGCTATTGGGGCTTTATGGAGGCTTCCTCTTGATCAATTATTAATTCCCTTTCCAGCCTCCCTCCCTCTCTGAAGAATGGGGGGCGGGGCTGAAAATTCCAAGCTTCTTTTTGTGGCTTGGTCTTTCTGGCGACCAGCCCCCACCCAGAGCCATCCTGGAGGGCCCCCTCTCCTGCCTCCACCCCCCCCCACAACAGGTGGCCTCACTAGAACAAAAGATGCTCTTAGTGCTTTTATCACTTTGAATTTACAAGGGTTCCAGGAGCCCTGTGTCAGGGACAGGTCAAAGACCAAATATGGGAACAAAAGATGTTCTTAACACTTAGGAAATTACCAGGGTTTTAGGAGTTCTCTGCCAGGAACTGGGCCCAGAGACTAGTATATACTTACTATTATCCCACACTGAGGGACCCAAAGGAGATTAGTTGTAGATGAAGATTTATTGTAGGGAAGGTCTGCATGTTGTAGGGATATTAGTACTGATATCCCCAATTCAAATTGCAATTATATTTTCTTTGAAAGGATTTAATTATCCAATTATATTTGGAATTCTTTGAGTTAGCTTTGTTTCATGGCATTAGTTTTGTCCACTCTTTGTTTCTCAGTTGTATTAATATAATTTACAGATCTACTCATCCTTCCAGGCATTACCCAATTGAGAGGTGACTGTTTTTAGTAATTTTAAAATCAAATCAAATTGGAATTATATATTGATTTATATATTGAAGTTCTTTTCCAGCCTGTCTTGCTTTAAGCATTATACTGCCTTAAAGTGGTGTGTGTCTGTATGTGTATGTATATGTGTGTACATGTGTGTGTATGTATGTGTGGAGTGTGTGTGTATGGTATGTGTGTGTGTCACTCCCCTCCGCGGGCCCCCCCCCCCCCCCCCCAAGGAATCACAGATACCTCTTCTCTGTTTTTCTCCCAATGCCAAAATCTGTTGTGGTCATCTTGCATGCCAGTGCATATGTGTGGAGGTGGATGTACATAACTTGCAGAGCATGGAGTTTCTATAAAAATTGTTAACCAGTCCCTTATTGCTTACCCAGTATTCTGCACACCTCTCCAGTTATTTTCTTAGGGCCTGCCGACATAGCTGCTCACCAAAGAGCACAAGCACTTGCCATATTCCCTCTAGAGAGGCACTGATCTGTACTCTCGGTAGCTGAATATGAGAATGTTCGGCTCCCTAAACTCTAACCAACACTAGGGATTATCAGTTTTTTAAATCTTTCTTAGTCCAGTGGGTGAAAAAACTATGTCTTTTTAAAAAATTTTTTTTTGCGGTATGTGGGCCTCTCACTGTTGTGGCCTCTCCCGTTGTGGAGCACAGGCTCCGGACGCGCAGGCTCAGCGGCCATGGCTCACGGGCCCAGCCGCTTTGCGGCATGTGGGATGTTCCCGGACCGGGGCACGAACCTGCGTCCCCTGCATCGGCAGGCGGACTCTCAACCACTGCACCACCAGGGAAGCCCTATGTCTTCTTTTAATTTGCATTTCTTTGTGTGCTCCTGAGATTTAACATGTTTTGGCCACGTGTGTTACTTTTTTGAGTTGTCTGTTCATTCTTTTGTTCTTTTTTCTCGTAGATTCTTCACCCTTTTTATTTCTGATTTCTATGTGTTTTTCTTAAAAAAGTGTGTATGTATAATTTTTTCCTGGCTAGAAACCTATATTTCAGTCTTTTTTATTTTTTAAACAGTTCTTTTTTTTAGATGTTGGAGGTAGGAGTTTATTAATTAATTAATTAATTTTTGCTGTGTTGGGTCTTCGTTTCTGTGCAAGGGCTTTCTCTAGTTGTGGCAAGCGGGGGCCACTCTTCATCGCGGTGCGCGGGCCTCTCACTATTGCGGCCTCTCTTGTTGCAGAGCACAGGCTCTAGAGCGCAGGTTCAGTACTTGTGGCTCACGGGCCTAGTTGCTCCGTGGCATGTGGGATCCTCCCAGACCAGGGCTCGAACCCGCGTCCCCTGCATTAGCAGGCAGATTCTCAACCACTGCGCCACCAGGGAAGCCCTATATTTCAGTCTTAATTGTCTTCGTTGCGTCCTCACGCCAGTCCTGTGAGTCACGCCTTCAAACTTTGACTCTTTCTGGCCTTGACAGCATACCTAGGAAAGGTTTCCTTACCCCAGTTATTAATTATTCTCCCTGGATTTTCTTCTTTGTTTTGAATTTTTATCCTTAGATGTTTAATACACATAGACATTTTGTATATATTGGCAGAGTGAGGTAGAGCTTCTTATTTCTTTTTTCTCCCCAAATAGATGCTTATTATTGAATCATTGATCCTTTCCTACTGATTTGAAATGTTGCCTTTACCTTGTGCTAAATTTCCACAAATACACGGTTTTGTATCTGGATGCTCTCTGTTCATTGATCTGCTTATCTTATGCTTGCATCAAGTATCACATTGTTCTTTCCTTTTTCTTTTTTTGTCCCTTACACATTGATTTAGTTTTTGTTGATCTGACTTAGTGTGAAGAGAAAATTGTTGCTCCTATTCTATCCTTAAAAATCTAGCAGAAGTGAGGTTTGGCTTTGTAGTAGAGGTTCATTTGTTTCTCTAAGTTTAGGTGACAATCTTTCTTTCTTTTTTTTTTCCTTTTGGCAGCAGAAGTTGTGGGTTGATGAAGAAAACTAATTTAAAGCAGCTTTTCTTGCCACTGAAAATAGAATTGAAATAATCTGTAATTTTCATTTCTTTAGCCATTGTTTCTCAGCTTTTCTCACATCTTAGAACACATCAAAAATAAAAGTATTTATAAGGCATATGGGATTAATGGATGAGTACTCTTGAGATCAGAGACCACTGGTCCGGGGTCTGGGTGGCCCAGGCCCCCTTGCAGAGCATGAGGGGATCAACATCTGTGACTTGTGTGTGTTGTGACACACATCATTAGGGACGTGTTTGGAAAGTGCTGATCTAGGTTAAAGTATCCAGCTTCAAATATTTTTCATTGTAAATCATCATAGCTTGATATGAATTTAACATTCTGAGACTCAGACTCCTTTTTAAAAAGTTTTAATTGTGCTAAGATGTATATAACGTAAAATTTACCATCTTAACTATTTTAAAGTATACAGTTCCTTGGCATTAAATAAATTCACACTGTTGTGCAACTAACTCCCTGTTCCCTTCTCCCTCCAGCCCTGGCAGACACCTTGCTACTTCCTGTCTCTCTGAATGTGATAACTCTAAGTGCCTCATATAAGTGGGATTGTACAGCGTTTGTCTTTTTGTGACTGGCTTATTTCTCTTAGCATAATGTCCTCAAGATTCATCCACATGTCATTTCCTTCCTTTTTAAAGGCTGAATAATATTTCATTATGTATATACCACACTGTTTATCCATTCATCCATCGATAGACACCTAGGTTGCCTCCACCTTTAGGTGTTGTGAGTAATGTTGCTGTGACCATGGGTGTGCAAATCTGAGAGCCAGACTTCTTGTAAGAGTTTTTCCTCATTTTTTTCACCTCTTACTCAGCTATTCCAGTCTGAATTTAATTCCCATTCTTCTTCTGAAAGCTCTTTCATAGATCACTAGTGATCTCAGAATTGTTAAAGATAAGGAGCATTTTCCAGGGCTTACTTGATTTCTCAGACATATTCACACAGGTTGACCGTGCTTTTCCCTTGGCCTCTGGGTTGGCATATGCACCCCTGGGTTCTTCTGCCCCGTGTTGGATGTTCCATCTTGCTCTCTTCTACCAGCACCTAAGGTGGGATTTCCTCAGGGCTTGAGACTAGACCTTCTTCTTGTGTGACTGGTAAACGTGGATATTTCTCAGGAAGCAGCCGAGGCCCTTCACCTCCTGATATCCACTTTTGCTCTCAGTGACCCTGCCCACTCCCATAGTTTCAGCCTGCCGAGGGCTCCTGCATTTGTTTTGAGCTCAGCTCTCTCTGCCGAGGGCCCCACCAGAGCTGCCCACCTGGTATCTGATTCCTCCAGTGCAGGATCTTGTCCTGTTTCATGTGTCTGAAATGAGCTTGTGGTCTTCCCGTCTGTCTCTCCTGTCTCAATAAAGGGCACCTCCCAGGTGCTTAAGTCAGACCAGGGGGCCAGTTTTAAGATAAACTTTTACATTTAGAGTAGTTTTAGATTTACAGGAAAGTTGCAAGAATATTACAGAGTTCCTGTGTACCACACACCCAGTGTCCCCTAATAACATTAGAGTGGTACGTTCATCCCAGCCAGTAACCAGTACTGATATAGGATTATAAGCTAAACTCCACACATTCTTCATATTTCCTTAGTTTTCCCCTGATGTCCTTTTCTGCTCCAGGACCCCATCCAGGAGGCCACCTGACATTTAGTCATCATGTCTCCTCAGGCTCCTCTGGACTGTGACAGTTTCTCAGACTTCCCTTGTTTTTGGTGACCTTGACAGATCAGGTATTTGTTGATGTCCTTCAGTTTGGGTTCGTCTGCTGTTTTGCTTGTGATTAGGCTGGGATTATGGGTTTTGGGAAGGAAGACCTTGAAGGTGCAGAGCCCTTCTCGTCTCATCTTATCAGGGGTGCCTGCTATCAACAGGACTTCTCACTGTGATGCTCTTAACCTCCATCACCTGGCTGAGGCAGTGCTTATCAGTTTTCTCCAATCTAGAGTTACTATTTTTTTCCTCTCAGAGGTCATTTTTTCTTTTTTTGTTACAGCACAACTTATATATTTCAACTGGACAAAAAATTAGTATCATTTACAGTATCTTAAGATAAACTGCCTTTGAATGGGAGCTTCCTTTTCAGTACTTTGAGGTCTACAAGACGTATCTAGAAAATTTACTACCGTGGAAAACGAAGACTGCTTAAATCGAATGGGGGGTGGGGGAGGGCCTGTGGTTTTTCTTTTCGATTAATTGCTGTAACACCGTCCATCAGGAGGCCGAGGGAGTTTCATATTTTGTTTGGACATCATTAGGCGCTGAAGCTCTTGCGGGACAACTGTGAAGCTATAGGAATTCTGCCATTTTGTTAGCACTGGTATGGCTCTTGGGTCCACCACTCCGTTAGAACTATTAACCCCATTCATATTAATTTTTGTTTCAGATCTTACACAGGGGGGTGCTTCTGGGTATTTAGGTCCACATTCTATTTTAAGGCTGTATATTCGGTTTTCATAAATTGTCCGAGCCTGTGGTGGCTGCCATCTTGCATCGCTGTCGCTCCTCAGAGGTCATTTTTGACACCTCCTTCATCTTTTATGTATTGAATCCAAGACTACTAGCTCTATTTCCAAATAAATTTCCAGTCTAAATCACTCTTTACAGCCACCTCTCCAGTCCAGGCCACAATTACCTGTGCCCAGACGGCTTCTAGAGATCTCCTGGCCCCTGTCCCTACTTGCACCCTTGCTCCCTCCCAACCCAGTCTCCGCCCAGATGCCGGAGTGGTTTTTTAAAAATGCCAGTTGGATTATGGTACCCCATTTCTCAATCCCTTGAATAATTTTCCATCGTATACTTAAGATACCGTCCAACTTCTCAACATGGTCCTCAAGGCCTGTGTAATCTTGTCTGTCACCCCTCCGGTCTCCTGCCTGGCCTCTCTCCCCTTGTTCTCTGTTCTCCCCCCGAGTTCCTTCTACACTCATGTTCTTCCTCCCACGTTGCCTTTTACGTGTCGTTTTTTCTTCTTCTTAGAATATGGTCCCTCTCCACCTTGTCATCTTCCAGATCTCAGCTAAACATTATTTCCCCAGGGAAAATTGCCTGACACCCTAGCAGAATTGATGAGGTACCCTTGCTGTGTATTTCCGTAGCATCCTGCACTCTGCTCATGGTGCTTGAAATGACTTGTTCTGTGTCTGAATCCTCGCCTCAGTGGCTAAGATAGACAAAGCTGGGACGTCTTCTCTGCTCTTCATCACACGTCCCGGGCACCTGGCAACCGAGCCTGCCCCATGGTTAGGTGCTCAATATACATTTGTTGAACGAATGAGTTTGTCTTTAAGTTAAATTAGTGAGTAGAACTGCAGAGTGGAAAATCATTACTCTTCCTTTTTTTGTGTGCAAGTTCTTGCACAGAACTTGCAAACAGAGAGCATCTCTCCTCCAGGAGACTGGAGGATGGTGTGGACCCACCTGAGCAGTTTTTCTTTTCTCTTCTTTAAAGTAAATAAATAAATAAAACATTAAATATTTTTGTAAATAAATAAAATTATTTTTGGCTGCTTTGGGTCTTCATTGCTGCGCGCAGGCTTTCTCTAGTTGTGGTGAGGGGGGCTACTCTTCGTTGTGGTGCGCGGGCTTCTCATTGCGGTGGCTTCTCTTGTTGCGGAGCATGGGCTCTAGGCGCGGGCTTCAGTAGTTGTGGCTCGAGGGTTCTAGGCGTGCGGGCTTAAGTAGTTGTGGTGTGTGGGCTCAGTAGTTGTAGCTCGTGGGTTCTAGAGCACAGGCTCAGTAGTTGTGGTGCATGGGCTTAGTTGCTCCGTGGCATGTGGGATCTTCCTGGACCAGAGCTTGAACCCGTGTCCTCTGCATTGGCAGGTGGATTCTTAACCACTGTGCCACCAGGGAAGTCCTGGGCAGTTTTTCTTGAAGTGAGGATTGTGGACTGTACTAGTCAGACTCACCTGGGGTTTTACTAATGCAGATTGTTTAGCTCCTCTTTTGATGTACTAAACTGTAATCTCTTAGGGGAAGGACTTGAGAACTATTTTTACAAATGACTTGGTTTAAATAGGGGATTCTTATTCATCTGAAGCTTGAGAATCAATGACTAGAGGAAGTGGGAAATGTTGGAGTCTAATCTTTCTGACTGTCACTGTAGGAAGCCAGTAGAGCAATTAAAGTAAGCACTGCGTTGTAGGTTAGTAAACTTAAAAACAGGTCATGTAGAAATAAAGTCAGCAGTGGGTGGGTCTGTTTCGCTTTTGTTTTATTTCTTATAAATTTGTGTTTGGGGAAATTTGGCATGTATTGTATTATTCTTTTTCCCTAGTGGGGATAGTACCTGAAAGGAACGGGTCTCAGTTGTGATAGAGTTGACAATATAAATGCTAAATCTGAGGAAGAAATTTAAGAATATTTGGTGAATTTGCATATCATTTGCAAAGCTAGGAGTGTGTCTCAAGCTGATTTTCAAGTCTCTTAGAGAAACTGTCACACTGTGCCTTGATTTTCAGTTTAGAAACTATGGTAATTTCAGGTTTGCGGCTAATATGAAAGCTAGTAATCAGTATCAAACGTTTTAAATTTATAATATTTATGTATTTGTTTATGCATTTATTTTATTTTATTAAAATTTTAAAAAATATATATACATACACACTTAAAAATTTTTTTCCAGTTTCTTTGCCCAGTTTTAATTAATTAATTAATTTATTTTTATATATACATCTTTATTGGAGTATAATTGCTTTACAATGTTGTGTCAGTTTCTGCTGTACAACAGTGAATCAGCTATATGCATACATATATCCCCATATCCCCTCCCTCTTGAGCCTCCCTCCCACCCCTCTAGGTCGTCACAAAGCACTGAGCTGATCTCCCTGTGCTATATGCATTTATTTTAAACAGTGAGATTACTTTTATTATTTCACCTAAGAAGACCAGAACCAGGTGGTTCCAGAATTGGTTGGTTCAGTGGCTTGGAAGGTGGCTCCCACTGTCTCCCCTGTGACTCTTGGCTTCTTCTGCATGGTGGCTACAGCATGGCTGTGTGGTTTAAAGTGTGCAGGGAGAGGGCAAAGTCCCTGCCTTTTGACCGCCCCTCATTCTTTAAAAAAATTTTTTTTTAACTAAAAATACTTGATTAATCCAAAAGAAGGCAGAAAGGAAGTGCAAAGGAACAAAGAACACAGGAAATAAATAGAAAACAGCAGGATGGTTCACTAAAACCCAACCATATCTGATTAAAAGGTGGGAGATTGACAGACAAGATTTAAGAGAGCAGGACCCTTTAATTCTTCTTGAACTTCGTTCTGGGATGCACCTAAGGTTACTTTTAAGCAGTTGGAACCTTTAAGGTTTTGCTTTGTTAGGTGGGTCTGCAGTAGTGCTCAGTCTAAGGCTAATTTTTTCTCCACTCCTGAGGCCTTCTACACAGTGCTTGAGTACTCTGCCCAATGCTTGGTGAATTTAGAGTTTTTCAGTCTCTGACCCCATTCTTAAATAGCTTTTTTGAGGTATAATTGGCATATAATAAATTGCACATACTTTTGAGAAGTGTGCACATGCACACACCCCATGGCCATCACCATTCCACCAGAATGAGTGTATCCATCACTCTTAAGGGTTCCCTTGTGCTCATGGCAGCCCCTTCCTCCCACTTGCTTTCTCCTTTTGTGAAATCTTTGAAGCTATTAGGGAAAAAATTATATTGTTGAGGATAAAGTCCTAGGTAGAAAGGTATTTAACTTGTAGTTTTAGCTTTTGTTTTCTTTTTGAGGATTGTGGTGGAAATAATATGATGATTGATTGTAGGTGTATGTTGCTGTATCATTTATAAAATGTTTTGAGAAACAGGCACATATTTTAGAACAGACTATCTTTGAGAAGCTTGACAGAGCAAATATATTTTCAGAAAGGTTGAAAAAAATGGCAGAGCTGGTGTCTGTTGTGGGAAAGGGGTCAGGGACGGGGTACCTCTCGCTGGCTGTGCTGCCCTGGGCCCCACTTGGAGGAGCCACAAACATGGAGACCAAATGCTTTTATTTTCTTGGTTTTTCAGCCAGGCAGTATTTCTAATATGCTGAAGAAACTAACAAATTCTAACATGAAAGGGTAAAAGAAATATAGTCCCCACTTAACAGAAGGATATACTTAGCTCAAGTGCATTTTATTCTAGTGAATTACCTGTTGTATTGAGTGACGTTTTGGTGATTTATTTTTTTTTATTTTTATTTTTTTTGGTGATTTATTTATTTATGTTTATAGATTAAAATTTTTTTCTGCCTCATCACTATAATAAACTTGGCTGGACATTTCTCCCTTTACTCTCTGAATACACTTGATGAGATTAGTTTCTGCTTCAGAGAGCATTATATTGTTGAGTTAATAGCCATTTTGTAAAGAATTAGTAAAATATATAGGGCTCTATTTTAATGGGTTTCTTCAACTGTCTCGTAGCTTCTCTGACTCTCTGAATTTTCTTGGCTCTTTATTTTTTTATTTCTTTCTGGTTCTTCTATGTGTTTTGAAAGTAGTATGCTTGAGGTGAGAATGGCAGCATTTCTGTCATGATTTAACCGTATTAGAAATGACGTTCTTTGTTCTATGTCTGCTTAGTTGAGAAATGAACCAATTCTCTTTGCTTATAAATGCTGGCTGGTCCTTGGCCCAAAATAAAAAAAACCCCAAACCCAAAAACCAACAACCATAAACAAAAAACACCAAACCAAAGCAAAAAGCGCAAAAAACAACCCCCCAAAAACTTAGAGTACAAATTGAGCATGTTGGAAAACATATCCCTACAAAAAGTTGTCAGGAAGTGAGAACATAATATGGGTGAGAATTTCCCTGGCAAAGTCTTCTTTGCTAGAACTCCAGTGACTTGTTGGTCTTGTGAAAGTGAAACTTGGTGTGTCTCTTATTTCAGTAACATAACTCACCAGTGCTGTGGTACAGTTTTCTTTCCGGTTTTAGCTTGAGGGTAGGGTATACTAGTTATGCTCCTAAGGTTTTAGGAGTTAGTAGGGTTTTTGAGCATTCCCTGTTTAGTTCAGTTACTGCTTGTCATTTGAAGAGGACTCTCCTTCTCTACCCCTTGATGTAAAAGTGCTAGTTCTGCCACTTAGGATTTGTTTTGGGTTAAAGAACCCCCCTCCGCCTACACCCTGAATCTTTGCATGTATTGGTATGTATGAATCCAGTTCATTCGTAGTCCTTGAGGCACTCTGTCTGGGGCCCAGGAATGGGGCTAGTAGAATGTTCTGTTTCCTACATTTCAGCTTGGGCCAGCCCTTCGGGAAAAAGCAAAAAGCTCCTCAGGTCCCATAGCCTCTAGAATTTGGAGCAGAACTGTTGCTTCAACAGACTTCCGGTTAAGTAGGCAGGTGTCAGACTGTTTCTGTGGGAAGAAGGATGTGTGTCCCAGATACCTGCCTCCACGAAGGGGCTCTGGCCTCAGCTCTTTGTTGTTGCGGCTGAATCCGTGCTCCCCAGTTGTGCTGGCCCCTGGCTGTTTCTAGCCCTCTTATTACTTATTAAATTATATTCTAGGATCCTTGAATAGTAGGGACGTGGTAAACTCCTTCCTGGTAGCCCTTCCCTTCTTCCACCCCAAATAGCAAACACATTTGAAAACATTAGCTGAAATCCTTCATATTACAGATTTTCTTAAATCACCTAAAATGTTACCATTACTGGCACAAATTTATTCAAATTGTTGGAACTTCTAAGTGCCTAGGTGGGGAGTGTTCTGTTTGTTTTGTGTTTATTACTTAGATTATATTCATTTCCGTGAAATTATTTGTGGGAATTTCGTTGGTTGTAATGCTTTCAGGTCCTCAAAGAGCAGTTCCTTCTATTTGGGGATCACATCGTGTTGGCATAGGCTGGTGTGTGCAACTTTTGGCAGGGCTTAAGCTAGTAGAAAATTTGGGCTAACACATTTTTTTTCTGAGTCGGTGAATTTTAGAAATGATTTAGAATTTCGAGAAGCATCTATAAGTATTCTCCTCTTGTTGTCCAGAAGTTTTTTAATAAATACATGTGTTTTGATAATGAAGGGGTACATATATTTGATCTGAATATACTTTTTCTCATTTTTAATAGGAAATATTTTAATAAAACAAAACTTGGCTAATGGTATACTTGCTGGCTTCTTGCCTTTTCTTACAAACGTGCTAAAGTGGTCTGAATAACAGTTACTAAAACAACATATGCCTTGTTTTGATGGGGTATCGATTCCTTCTATAGTGTTCAAAATTGCTTGCATGCCTCCCAGCAACAAATACGTATGTGACAGACTTTACATGAGATGAGCATCCCAGATAAATGAAATGCTAGTTTACTTTTGAGTAGCTCTGGAACTTAAAAAGAAAGTCGTTTTTTAGAAATGTGGCCTTGAGGCGCTAACACACTTGTGTCTAGTGCATGAAGCTCTGCAAGTTATTTTTTAACAAAACCTAATCGGGGGAACAAAATCTTTATAGAGTTTACTTATTGATTGCTCTAAGCCACCAGAAAGAGTATTCTGTTCCTCTTAATAAAATCCTTTGGGGCAGTTGTCTATATTTTAATATGGAAGTATTTGGGGAATTTGATTTTATCAGGGTGAACTCAAATGTTAGATATTGTAAGATTGAAACTAAGCTAGGAGACTGGAAGAACGAATGGTACTTACAGTTCTTTTTGGCTAGTGGTGCTCTCGTTTACCCTCGTAGATGGAGAGGCGTTATTTCTATTGTTGCCTGTCCAGCAACAAGTAAGGAATTTGGATCCTGAAATCAGGACAGTGTAGCCTGCTCAAGTTTAGTTTCAGAGATGAGACTAAAGATCACTAATAGTAGTCATTTTATTTACTAGTGAAAGGAATATGGAAATTATTTACTGTAACTCCTAATCGTTATGCTTGCTGTTGCCGCAAAGTTAATAAGTATGTTTGTCATGATATCCGTGGTGGCCACATGATGCAAAACAAAACCTTAGCCCTTTCTGTCCTTTTAAGGTTTATTAATGTCCTTTTTGGTTTGTTAATGAGGGAGATGAGTAAATAATAACAGGAAATTGAGGCCTAAACTGTCATATACTCTTTTTCTGTTGTTAAGATATTGCTGATGTCAAGCTTCTATTAATTCTGTGTAATTCCAGTGGAGACAGCAAGTTATTTTGCTTAAAATGTCGTCCCCCCCCCCCCCCGCACCAACCCCGTCCTGCAGTGAGAGTTGAATGTGAGAACAGATCTTAATAGATATACACAGTTTATTTTATCATGTATCACTTTATTGCTGTCTTCTAGAACATTGTTATACTAAATGTTCCAATAATGGAAATTTTATGCAGCTACTTCAAATGAAACAAATTTGCAAAAACTCAATTTTGGAACTCATTCCTTGAGGAGAGGAAAAAAACTCACCATGCTGTGACCAAATTAGATTTCTGATATGTTGGCAACTTAACAAACACTGTCATTTCCAGAAAACAGGGTGTGGGGTCCAGTGGAATTGTCAGCACTTCTTAGTCACTTATAATGGGGGATATTTGGGGTTTTAATATGATTGAATGGTTAAATTTTTACAAAAAGGTAATTAAAATTTGGTGTTGTACCTAAATAAAAATGGCTCTACACGGAATCAGGAATGACTGTGTTCAATTACAGGGGAGTCTTCTTTTCAAGAACTTGATTTTAAATTCTCGGAGATATTAGTTTTACTTACTGGAGCTCCTTTGTTTTGCAGAGATCATGATGCAGCCGTCCTTTTGGATTTCTTTTTAATAATGTGTGACCCTTCACCTTTGATCCCCTGACCTGCATTACCTTGGTAACCATTTCATTTTTTAATTTAATTTCATTTTTTGATTTTGGTGTACAAGCTGTAACATTTCATCTCTCAAAGTGTAACACGCTGATTTCCTCAAATAGAGATACCCCTTTGAGCGATAAATTTGCAAAATGCTGTCTTCATTTTCTGTATTAAAATTCATTTCAGTTTTAAAAATAAAGTGTAATCTGTGTTTTCATCCTTTTAAAATTTAAGTTTAATGAGTGCATTTCCCCATGCAGTATATTTCCTCTTCTATTCATGTTTTGCAGTAGCCAAATGAACTTGGTGTTCACACATAACTTGCATACACAGCGGACACCCAGAGCCCCCCCGCCCCCCCATGCCCCTGCCCCGCCCCTTCTCACACACACCCCCTCACCATCACCACGCACCCCCTCACCACCACCACACACCCCTTCCTTTGCAGATTAACTCATCTTTCAGAAATAGTGGCAACTTGAACTTACTGGTCTCAGCTGCCACATTCTACAACCTCACATTATGTTTTATATTTTCAAGTGTTTGTGGGAGGAAAAGTTTAGCCCTTTAATTCCACGTACGGACTGGAAGATAAGAAAGTTGTCTCATTTCCAAAATTCACCTTTCCCCCTCCTTCAGTATTTTATTCTTTATTTGAGGTATAAGTTAAGAACGAGCAACATTTTTAACCTGATGAAAAGTGGCCTTTTGTCTCTGCTGAAACTTGGTCAGTCAGCTGTGATGGTCCATATACCAGATTGCTTTATGCCATATGCTGTTTCATGACTGTTTTTCAGACAATGCATTTTTAATTGTATTCCACTTTTCAAAAAATTCTTATTCAAAAGCAAAAAAACTGAAATCTAAAAAATGAAACTTGAGTTAATTCTTGGAACTGACAAGATATTCCTGAGAATTCATGTTCTTTAAAAAAAAAAAAAACCATGTGAAATCCCCTAGCATGGCCTGCTGAAGCACAGATTATTTGTTAAGTGTCTCATTATTTTATTCTCCAACATTTAATGCTGATGCTTTAATTGCACACAGCTGAAGCTGCTAAATGAGCACTGAAATGGATTTAAGTCCTCTCTGAGCTTTGTTGATACCTATAAAAGTTTATGTCATTCATTAGAACCACAAATTAAAATTAGCTGTAGTGAGCTGCTCAGTGGAGATTGGAACTCTTAGGAACACTTCTTCAGGCTTACTAGCTGGTCTTTGTCTGTTACACTTACATCCCTGGGAAATTGCCTTTGGCCTGTTGGGTATCTTCTCACAGAATTGCAAAATATCAGAGCTGAGAAGTATGAGTAGGTAAAACATTCCATGAGTACAAAGCCAGAAAGCACATGGAATGAATGTTCCAGAAGCTAGGAGCATTTATTTATCCAACCTTGCATTTTAAGGTGTTTTTTTTTTTTTATGATAATGCTTTCAGAGTTGCATAGGAATGTATTCCGTATCCTTCTAGCACCAGAAGAAGAATGTGTAGCTTGGAGTTTATTGAATAGGCGTCGCAGGGCTGAAAGGGGCTGTGAGTGGCGGTCTTCTGCACTCCTCTTGCTTAAGCAGCCCTATACCTGCCCGACCCCTGAGGGGGAGCTAGCTGATGAGAGTCACAAGCTCCCTGTTGACAGAATCAGGGCCTCTTGACATCTCCCTGAAGGCTCCTAGGTCCTCTAGAGACAGTCAAATACTTTATTCATAAGTCCAGTAGGAGCTAAGGAGACGTTAATAGGCACCCAAGAGAAATGTTTTTATTGTGATAATTTTATTTTGCCGTTACGTCGAAGAGAGCTGGTATACGGACACATTCGTTCCCTATTTTCAGTGAGCAGTGCTTATTTGGTTAGTATTTAGGAATTCTGGTGAGTTGTAAGCCACACGGATGTAGTTTCTGTGAGCATGATTCAGTGAGAAAACCCTAGGCTGAGAGTCAGAAACCTGCTTTGGACCAGCCGGGTCTCTGGATGTGCCCGGGGTATCTTGTGAGGTAGCGACACACAAAACCCAGAAACTCAAATAGCAAGACTTCAAAAGACTTCCACGTTAGGGTTGAAAACAGTGAAATCAGTTGTTCCACTTAACATACAGGAATGTGTAGAACATTTCACTGATTCGACTTCCGTTTTATCCTGTGTGAAACGTAGATATTGTACGTCTCCTGCTTGCTTTTTAGGGTTGTTGGCAGGATAAATGAAAATGCGTGATGGACACCCTGGGAACCCAGAAGAAAGGTGCCTTTGAAAGTAAACCTCATGCGAGGGCTGTGCGCTCAGCAGCGGCAGTCTTCATGCTGAGAGGCTGCTGTAGTGCATCCTCTGGGGAGCGCCGGGAGCGTGGGCGCTGGGGCCAGGCTGCCTCGCGTCGCATCCCACCTCGGCCCTTTGCAGGTGGTCGGATCGAGACAGTTATCTAACCCCTCTGTGCCGCAGCTTCCTCTTGAAAGTGGGGTTGATAATAACAGTACCTGCTCAGAGCGTCATGAAGAGTCCTAGGTGAGCTGCTGCATGTGAAGTGTGTACTTAGAGCAGCGGCCGGCAGGCAGTGTGGCCATGGCCGTGGCATCTGGGCCCGATCCTGCGCGCCAGGAGAAACCCAGGCAGCGTGGGAGTTCCCATGAAATGGAATTTCCTACACCTTGCAGAAAACTAAACTTGAAAGGTGTCCCTGTTAGTATTCTGCTATTGTCTTGGAGGCCCAGGCAGCTTACAGGAAGAGGCACTGGCTAGTTTATGGGGATCAGGCACCTCTCAAACAATGTAAGTTCAGGTGCTGCAGGTTAAATCTGGGCTCCTAACCTTTTCGGGAGAAAAGTTTAGATAATTAAGAGCTTATTGGCCCTTTGTTGGCAGGTTCTTTTGTTTTAGCTGTTTTTGGCTACGGAGGCACAGGAAAGACCCGTGGGAGAGACCCCATCCTTTACTTAGTCAGCACTTACTCATTCTCTCAGCTTCAGTCAGCTGTCTAGTGGGCTTTCCCAGAGTCAGAAAGCATTTATGTGGTGAGAGATTTTTACCTTGCTGTAGGAGGCTTCCCTGCTTCATCCTCAGTAGAATAAGGGGGAAGAAAGTCACTGCTGTGTGTCACATATTCCCAAGCGTTTCCACATAATTATATACACTTATCTATGAGGTCGGTGGTGTTTGTTAACCCTGTTTCGCACCTGAGAACACCGACACTCAGGTCGGTTAAATAAACTCGTGCAGGGTCACACCCCTAGCAGGTTGCAAAACTGGGACTTGAATCCAGGAGCTGCCCTTCTGGTACCTGCTGCCTTGTGCTTGCCGGCAAACCTGGCTGCACCCCTGACAGGAGATCCTGCCACTTGGTTGCAGGGGCCTCCTCTGCATGCATTTGTGTCCCTCAGCCGTCAGTGCCCCAGACTTACTTAGTGAGGCCTCCAGCACCCCACCACCCGCATCACTAGGAAGGCCCCGCCGTTCGCGTGGCGCCTGGAGGGGCTGCATAGCAGCGGCTTCCTTGCTCTTGGCTGCACGTCCAGGATCCCTTGTACAGCTTTAAAATGTGGAGCACTGGCCCCATCCCAGACTCTGAGCTGCCTGTTCTAGCAGAGAACCATCGATCAGAGCACAAAGATGCAGGATGTTTATGTTACTCGTAAGGAAAAGCTATCACTAATCCAGAACACGGGCCAGTGCCGTTAATTCTATAGTTAGCTGCATTGTAAGCTACAGTGGGCCTTTGTGGGCCAGTGTGGTGGTGCACTCACCAGCAACCAGCAGCCATTTTGTGGGAAGAGTCCCAGCTGTCCTTTCGGTGGGATGTAGTCTTCTGGAAGTGGGCATCTGACCATCACAAAAACCAGGTTTGAGATCGCTCATGGGGCGAAATGAAGCAGTGGGCTGTCTCCTTTCTCCTTCGCCTTTTCACTTTCTTTTCTCTGCCCTACTTGCGTGCATTTATTTTTTACAACCCTCCTTCCCTCTCCTCCCCAACCCTTCCCTGTCTTATCTTTCCTCTGTTTCTCTTTTTCTCCATCGTCTGCCAGATGCTTCTGAGTGTTTCTGTCATCAGACTGTAAATGCTTGAAATCCTGCAAGGGGCCGGGCACATCGCAGGTGTTCCTAGCAGTTGACGCGTCTCGGTATGTCCTGGGATCTTTCAGAGGTGAAGGCACTACCCTGAGTCACCTTGAAAGTTGTCAGATTTTGTTTGTGATCATCAACCTTAAGTTGGGTGCTTTATCTTGAAAATTCAGATAATCTGGCATGACAGTTTGAGAAACGCCGTCACTAACTAGGACAGAGTGCTGGCCAATGATGGACTTGACCCCTCTAGAGGCACTGGCATCCGGCTTTTAGTGTATTTGCTGCTGAAGGTCTGAGGTCATGGGTCAGGCCCCCCATTTTGGTGACGAGGAGCCATTCCTGAGAGGGGGAGCCCTTCCCGGAGGCCCTCAGCCAGTCCAGACTTGCTGCCCGGGGAGGGGAGCAGAGCCAGCGCTGGGGCGCGTGGATGCCCTGTGGCCGTGCACGGTGACCTGTGTGCCTCGGGAGATGACGGAGAAATACCCGGCCCTGATGGGTAGGCTGGTGGGTAGGAGGGGCCCCTGCGCTGAGCAGGCCCCTTGGGGGGCAGTTCTGATGGCGTTTAACCCCTCTGGAGGCGGTAGGAGACCAAGAAACATGGTCCAAGTGTGAAAAGTTATTTTATGTCATTCTTCAGTGAAAATCTGCCCTCGCCAGCAGGGGGGCGACTGAAGGCCAAGGCGGCAGCAGGATCGTTGCTCAGTCAGGAGCGAAGGGGAAGCATCTCCTGTTTGTGCTCGTTTGTGGGTGCCATCTCCCTGGGAAACCGTGGCCCTGGTTACCGTGGCACCAGGTGACATGCCTCCGAATCACAGGATTTAGACCAGACTTTCCACTTTCCACACGTGTCTCTAGGTGGGTTCAGAAATATACCATGTGATAGACACGTGTGCCCGCACAGAACGTGGATATTAGGCAGCCTGTGGTGCCGAGTTCTCCGCTCTCTTCTTATTGGTCCTTTGGAGTATTTCACCCCTCTCCGCCCCTCGTTTTCCCCTGGGAGAAGCCCGAAGGACATTTCTCCTTCTTCCGTAGCAATGGGAAGAGGACTGGCAGGGAGGGTGGCAAGTTGTCGGCGGCCGTTGGACTCTGGGTTTCTCGTACCTGCTCTGGCATGTTTAACGGCATGTGGCACAAGTGCTGGCACGTAGGAGACACCCAGCAAACGTTCACTCTCCTTTCAGCTGTCATTAGCACAGGTAATTAAGAACAGGAGCTGATAGACTTCACGTATCTGTGCAGAGATACATCTGTAATTAAAGTTTTAATTAAAGAAACACCAGACCCGGCAGATGGTTCTTGTCCCCGCATCCTGTAAACTAGACAGCCATGGCTTATTGATCTTGCAAACAAGCAAAGCAGAGGGTAGCAGCGGCGCTCCCAGAAGTGGACCAGAGGGGAGAGATAGTCTTATTAACTAGCCATAATCTAATTTTGGTAGCACTCTGTGCGATGCCAAAGCCAGGGATAATCATCGCAGTTTGAAATGGAAATTCAATACATCAAAGTTCTGTCCCAGCCAAAGCTTTTAAGCCTCAAGTCAAGGGCATTACCAGAGCCCAGCTGGTATATCACAAGGCATGTGGTTTTGTGCTAGATCACAAAAGCTGACAAAGTGTTATTTAGGATCATCAGCTAAATACAGTATTAAATTAGCGCGCCATCATCCTGACTTTTCAGGTTCTTGCCCCCGTGTAGCAGTGCAGGACTGAGATGGGACGGGTGCTGCCTGCCTCATGTGTGTCCTCTGTGCTGTGTCACGGTGACCTGAGTGACCAGCCAGCTGCAGAATGAAAAAACGAAACCATCACTGGGATACCAGGAAAAGACAGATCTCAGGTCTTATCATTTCTGGGAAAAAACCTGCCCCCAGTGGCCCTGGCCATTTGCTCCGCTATGTCCCTGTCAGCAGGAGGCCAGAGCCGTGCAGGCAGGGGTCAGGCAGTTCACTTTGACCTCTTGGGGTTCATCCCCTCCTTGACCCCCAATTTCTTACCCTTCCTCATAGTCTTTTACTTATCCAGGCACACGGTTTTCTGGCATTCAGCACAGGGAGGCACTTATACACCTGAACTCTCTACTAATGCATATAGGTGTTTTTTTTTTAAATTTATTTTATTTATTTATTTTTGGCTGTGTTGGGTCTTTGTTGCTGCGCGCGGGCTTTCTCTAGTTGCGGCGAGCGGGATTACTCTTCGTTGCGGTGTGCGGGCTTCTCATCGCGGTGGCTTCTCTTGTTGCGGAGCATGGGCTCTAGGTGCGTGGGCTTCAGTAGTTGTGGATTGCAGGCTTCAGTAGTTGTGGCTCACGGGCTCTAGAGCGCAGGCTCAGTAGTTGTGGCACACGGGCTTAGTTGCTCCACGGCATGTGGGATCTTCCCAGACCAGGGCTCAAACCCGTGTCCCCTGCATTGGCAGGCGGATTCTTAACCACTGTGCCACCAGGGAAGCCCTATAGGTGTGTTTTTACCACCTACATCTCACTCATTTGTTTCCCACTTGGTAGAACCAATACTGAAGATGTTCCTTATTTCACAGGGAAACATCTTAGAGGGTCAGAAGGGCAGTTGTCTGCTTTGCTTAATGGTGTGTGACCCTATCGTTCCTGTTTCTTTTAAAGGAAGTAGGGGGTTCTCACTGGAAGAAGAGCCCGTGTGACACCAGGATATGTATCAGTATCTTCACATTAAAGACTCGTCCCCAGAATGGTAGAACTCGGAAGTACTTTAGCTCATGTTAATACCATTTATAAATCAAAACTCAGTCCTCTTAGGAGAGCGGCCGAATCCATAGTACTGTGATGGTTGTGAGTGACTGAGTGTGTATGACGGGTGGATGGAAATGTTTTTACCACCTTTTTGCTTGGGAAAGACTTTTTTTTTTTTTTTTTTTCCGGTATGCGGGCCTCTCACTGTTGTGGCCTCTCCCATTGTGGACCACAGGCTCTGGACGTGCAGGTTCAGGGGCCATGGCTCATGGGCCCAGCCGCTCGGCGGCATGTGGGATCTTCCCGGACTGGGGCACGAACCCGTGTCCCCTGCATCGGCAGGCGGACTCTCAACCACTGCGCCACCAGGGAAGCCCCCGGGAAAGACTTTTATTTGACGAGATATTCTTTGTTTTTAGAAGTCAATTAAATGTCGGCTACTTTGAGTAAGCAGTCTTTGTGCTTGTATCCAGGAAATTTGGTCAGGCCTGTACAGAACTGTGCTACTGGGTTGGCATTTTGCATGGGGAATTTGAACCTGACTATGGAATCTGTTTCTTCTCCAATCTGGTTAGAGACCTGAGCACGTGACCTCTGAGGCGGCAGCACAGTTTGAGATCGTAGAAGGCCCCTTACGAAGTGACACTGGTGCTCCTCGGAGCACAGCGGTTATGGCTCACTTCAAGGTTTCTCCACAGAGAGAAACATCAGCAAACACACCTGGAATAGTAGGGTTTTTATTTCTCTTCCTGCGGTGGGTTTTAGGAAAGCTTTGCCCTTCCTGGTATCAGTGTGGTGCTGGGGGTGGGGGAGTGTTCTGCCCTCTCTGAGAGGGACTTAAATTCAAAGGTTTATACATTCGTTCAGTAAGTATTTATGGAAAGCCCAGCACCAGGCGCTGTCCTAGGCGCCCGGAGTAAAGCAGTAAACAAATCAAGGCCACGTCTGTCCCGAGGAGCCTGTTTTCTGGGAGGGTCAGTAAGCGACAAACAAAAGCAACACTAACTGAGCGACCACATGTGCCAGTTACATTTATTACCTCATCAGCGCTCAGAACACTGAGGAGGTAGGGGCTGTTATTGTCCCCACTTCACAGAGGAGGAAACTGAGGTACAGAGAGGTAAAAATAACTCGCTCAGTGTCACACAGCTAGTACATGGTGCTGTTGGCATTCCAACCCAGGTAATCCGCCTCCAGATTTCATGCTCTTAAACACTACGCTATTTTGTCTCCCTGTTAAAAAACTGCCTTATCGGTTTATTTCTACCTAAATAAGTATCATAAAGAAACATCAGATGACAGTGAATGTGATGCAGAAACCGTGTTAAGGGTCCCTGGATGTTGGTGCGCGTGCACGTGCTGCTTTGGCTGGCATGGCCGGAGCAGGCGTCTCTCCTAAGGTGATTTGAAGGAAGTGACACATTGATGCATGTAGATATCTGGGCTGAGAGTATTCCAAGCAGAGGGAACAGCAAAGGCAGAGGCCCCAGGGTAGATGTGGGCTCGGCAATAGCAAAAGAGAAGCAGGGAGGCCGCCACGGTCGCATCGAGTGAGCACAGTGGACAGGAGCAGATGAGGCGGTCAGCAGCGAGATCCCGCGGGGCCTTATAGGGCGTGGGAAGGTCTTTGATTTTACTGAATGAGAAGGGGAGCCATCCAAGAACTTTTGAGCAGGAAAACAACGTGATTAAAAGGATCACTTTGAATGCAGTGCAGAGAGTAGTCTAGGGCCGGGGTCGGCAATACCGTGTAGGCCTGAGCGCCAGATCCAGCTGCCACCTGTTTTTGTGCAACCAGCAAACTAAGAATGCTTCTCACATTTTTAGATGGCTGAAAAAGTAAGGTGAGTAGTAATATGTTGTGGCACCTGAGACGTACATGAAGTCCAGGTTTCAGTGTCCGTTTAAGTTCCAGTTTTATTCGCACAGGGCCGTGCTCATTTGTCTGCGTATTGTCGGAGGCTGCTTCCAAGCTGCAACGGCCAAGTCGAGTCGTTGCAGCAGAGACCATCTGGCCCACAGAGTCTACAGTATTGACTGTCTGGCTCTTTAAGAAAAAGTTTGCTGATTCCTGGTTTAGGGGGATAGGGATGGAGTCAGGGAGACCAGTGAGGAGACTGTGACAGGGGCCGGGGGTGGCTTGGACCAGAGCAGCAAGAAGTGATCAGATGCTGGATGTGTTTCAAAGGGAGAGCTGATTGGCTCTCTGCAGAGACATGGGGAGTTGGGGGCGATGCCAGTGTTTTTGCACCGAGCAACTGTAAATGCAGTTCCCATTCACTGAGATGGGGAAGACGGTGGGAGCAGCAGGCTGGGAGGTGGGTGAGGAGAAAGGTCTCGGCTGTGTTAACGTCATGATGCCGCGTGGAGGTGTCCAGTAAGCAGTCACAGTTCAGAGGAGGGGCCTAGCCTTGAGCCAGTCTTCAGTGTTGTCAGCGTATCGAAGGTTCTTAAAGCTCTGGGATAGATGAAATCCGTAGTGGGTGTGGATGGATGGAGAAGTTCAGACACGGAGTGCGGGAGGTACCCAGTGGTGAGGGGAGGGGTGAGAAGGAAGCGAAGGAGATGGGAAGGAACGCCAGGGAAGGAAACAGGGGAGAGCGGGGTGTCCTGAAGGAACGTGTTTCCAAGCAGAGGGCGTGATCATCTGTGTTCAAGTGTTGCTGAACGTCAGGTCAGATACAGGCTGAGAACTGACCCTGGATCTGGCAGCGTGGAGGTCATTGGTGACTTTGATAAGAGCCGGATGAGTGAAATGGTGAGGACGTCACCGATTCCAGCTGGTTCAAGCAAAAATGGGAGGAGAGGAAGCGGAGCAGGTGCTTTCAAGGAGTTGTATTTTCTGCTGCCCCAGTGCGGGCCAGGAGAGGGCAGAGAGTTGGATTTAACCTGGGATGGGGATTTTGCCAGGGAAGTGCTGGGAAGGGAGGGAGGGGCAAGGGAGCTGAGCACTGATGTGACGGTGGGCAGTGGACTCTGAGCTTGGCCGGGAGCAAAAGTGGAGCACGAGGGAGACGAGGGGCAACAAGAAGCCCTGGGGTCGCTGGACTCGAGGAGTGGGGCCATGGAATTGTTGGCGTAGGGACAGTCAGAGAGTGGGATGCTTCAATCTGGTATCACCAAGGGGTGCAGTTACGGTTAACATCAAGGTCTAGGGCAGTGCTGTCCAGTAGAAATATAATGGAGCCGCATGTGTAATTTGTAATGTTCTAGGACCCATATTTTTAAAAAGTATAAACAAACGAAATTAATTTTAATATTTTATTTAGTCCCATGTATTATGTGAACATGTAATCAATATAAAAACTGTTGAGATATTTTGCCTTTATTCTGTACTACATCTTTGACATTTGATATGGATTTTATGCTTCCAAAGCATCTTAGTTCAGACCAGGCACATTTCAGTAGCCACATGTGGCTTGTGGCTACCATACTGGACAGCGTAGGTCTTGGGAATGATCGTGGAAATACAGTCCAAGGGTACTGGGGGGGATTGGGTTAAGGAACAGGGAGGCCAGGGTTTGTGAAGGACTGTCTGTGCGGATCTGAAACCACTTATGGTCCTGATGAGACGAGCAGGGTCGGAGAGGCAGGAGAGGGAGACCGGGGCTGTTGGTAGGGTTGCTGCTGCAGTGGCCTCTGCTCTAACTTTCTACCCACCAAGGAGCCCTTCTGCCCCTGATCCCGGTACACTTCTCAAAGCATCTGTGAGGTTCTGGGGGATTGTTCTTGCCTCAAGTCAGATCCAAGTGGTAACTCCTTGGAATTAAGGGCTTGAGGCAAGAATTCTGAGTCACAGAAAACATCAGAACACAAGGCCGTAATTTTGCAGGATCTCCCCCAAATGGCAACTTTTCACTGGGGTTTTGACTTTTATCCTTTAGATACCTATCTTTATTTTGGCATAATCTTCAAATTCCTCAAATTCTATTAATTGTATTTAACAATGCTAAATGTATTTGAATCCCTGCAGAAGCCCACATTTAGTAGCTTTGAGGCAGTCCCATGTAATAGAGTATACAGAACCTGCCTGCCGTCTGATGCTTTTAAAAGGCAGGCGTGGTCAGCCTTTTATTATGCAAAGACTTCACACGTGTGTGTGTGTGTGTGTGTGTGTGTGTGTGTGTGTGTGTGTGTGTGTGTGTGTGTTTTAGCCTTGTAGGCTAGGGAAAGTGATGAACTGTTTGGAAAGAGTGAACAGGACACCTCAGCAGCACACACGCTCTTAATACTTCCCATACCAATAATGAACCCCCGGGGAAAAGGTGAATGGCTACCCTGATTCTGTCCCTTTATCAAGTTGAAATTACTTTAGGTTCCCTTTAGTTTGTTTTCTGTATTAAGATTAACCCCCAAATCCTCAAAAGTCCTATCAGCCCCCAAATTAGGGGGAGCCCACTTTGAGCCGAACATTTGTGAACCATATGCCCTTGGATGACTTAGTGTTGAGGGCGTCGTTGCTTGTTGAGTCCATGTGAGCTGACATCACGAGGAAGCGGGGTCTACCTGGTAGTCTGTGTTTTTAGCATCCCAACTTCAGTAATGCCCTCAGTATCACAGAGAATCCGCTTGGTCCCTGACTGTGCACTTTTATATTTTAAGTTTATCTTTTAAGTATGATGGCCTTCTCGCCCATTGTAGTCACACGAAAGAAAAAACTCAGTAAACACAATTTAGTAATAATGAAAGCTTACTCATTATATAAGTTTTGTTAAACTCTATTCTAATTCAAATGTTTCCATCTGACGGGGAAATGAATACCAAGAGCTGGAAGTTAAGTAAGAAATTAAAAGAACGTTAATGGCTTAATTGCCGTTTGTTTTGAGGTTTTCCTCCCCAGTAAGTGGTATTTTACTTATAAAGTCACTCCTTTACACACACATCTTTATGACGAATGGACTGGAATGTATCCCAGCAAAAGAAGAGCTATTTTATGATGCCACTTGTAAATTATAACACGTTACGTTAGAGAACCAAAGAATTAGCTTTTTAAAATCATCGTTAGCGTAATTACTTAATTTGCTACACACACAATTCTGGTTTCTTAGAAAGTGAAGGTCAGCGTGTCTAGGAGACCAGGAAGGTGAGCATTTGGACATCTGTTCATTTTTTAAAAATTTAGACGTGGGTCGCTAGCGTGCTCTTGTTATAATTCTAGCCTCAAAAAATCCAGAGTGTAACATTTAAATTTGTCATTTATTCCTTCAGAACTTTACTGCTGAAATTTAAGCTATAACCACGTAGTCGGTGTAACCGCAGCCAAGGCAGGTGTCTGGCCTGCAGTAGGCAAGCTCCTGCCCTCCTGCCTCCTCAGGGTGCAGAGACCCCACACGCGTGCCAGCTCTCTGGATGGTTCTGTGCACTGTCATCTGCATCTGCCCTTACTAGTAACGCACTCATTAACCTGATGCCCCCGTCTCTGGATGTAGATGTAGGTGCAGGGAGAGAAATACCAGAGCCCACAGCCCAGCACGCCTGCACCAGCCACCTCTCACCTCACCCCCGCTGCCGGACACTTCTGTCCCTCACACATGCTGTTTCTTTCTCTCCCCTGGCCTTTCCTCCCCAGATCTGCTTTATCTCGCAGAAGTTCCTTCTAGAGGCCAGCCCAGCTGTCACTTCTCCACACACCCTTTCTGCACAGCCTGACCTGTTGGTTCACTCTTACCGTGGGCACTGCTTTCCATCCCTCTGAGGGCCCTTGCCACCTTGTATTGTAATTTCTCTCTTTATCGGCATCTTTAATTCACGAAACCGTGAGTCTGGAGCAGGTGCTGGGCCTCACCTATTTCTTTTTCCATAGCACCCAGCCCAGCATCTGCATGTAGTTGTGGGTGGCTGAATGGGGCAGGTGACACACTGTGGTCATGTACCTTCAAGCCAAAGAGGTACACTTAATAACTGTTTTGAGGGAAGAGAATAGATACTGTTTTTGTTGATACACATCTTAAAATTTTGGTAGCAGAAAGCAGATGGGCAAAGAGCAATAGAAAACAAGTCAGAAACTGCTGTCTGATTCCATAGAGACAATCACGTTATGGTAAAAAAAAAAAAAAAATATATATATACACATACACACACACATATATATGTATATATAAAATTTACATTTGATCGCCTTGAAACCTTCCATCTGTTGTTCTGCTGTCTTAACTAATTATTTAATTGAATAGCACCTAGGGAAATAGATACAAATGTCATGAGAGCTTCCCTTGTGAGAAGCTCTTTTCTTTTTGTAATGTGTCCTTTTTAGGACGCCTTCAAGGCTTGTGAAATCGACTGTCTTCTGAGCATTGGACACGTGCCTGAATATGATGGTTCTTTTTTACTTACCTCGATTCACTGGAATTCAATGGTCATGCTAATATTCAGTCAATTTGAGGACTGGTTGGAAATCAGCCCCAAAATCAAAAAACAAATCAGACAGCATCACTCCCCCCAGAACACGATGCGTTCCCAGCTTGCCTTGTAAGACTCATTGGTACAGTGTTGCGTTCCCAACTTGCCCTGTAAGACTCATGGGTACAGTGTTCGGTGTCTTACCCCAAATCACTCACTTCATGGCTCTTCCCCCCAAGAGTACCTAAGCAAGGGGTTGTAAATGAGAGACAGATTCGAGAAAACAGATCTGAGGCTTTCCTTCACCATCAGTGTGCATTTGGGTAATTTTAAGGGGACTGTAGAAATCACCTATAGCTTATTATTGGGATCTTACATAATTAGCAACTGGTAGTCCATTTCCTTATTCTGTATCCTTTGAAATCCTGTATTTTTCTAACCTGTGAAACTGGCCTAGGAAGTAACGATTGGGAGTGCTTGGAATTCAGTTTAAGAAGTTCACCTTTTTAGTCCTGTGCTTCAACTAATAGTCTCTAGCAGGGGAGCCTCTCGAAACATTGTGTTCTGTTATATCAATGTGTACTTAGACACGTTAATCTGAATTAGAGAGCTGATTGTACATAATGACTCCCCCGGGATGCTATGTTAGAAAAAAACAAAACAAAAACTTAAGTAGTTTACTGAATATGCATAGTCAGTAAAAAATCCTTCTAAAATTAATGTTAATTGAATCTGAACCTTGATCATCTTCAAACCTTTAATTTTTAATTTGATCGTTTACAAAAGTTTTGTGGCCTCTTAAAGATACAACCTACAACCCGATGAAAGTTATACTGTAATGATTACGAAAAGAACGGCTGTAAAAGAACCAATTTTGAGTTACCATAGAGAAATAAGTCAGATGTGTGGGAACATATATGTACATATATGCATGTACATATACATACGTATATATACGTTTAACATATACTTTAGTTTGCCTTTACCCAGAGGTCTCTTCTCTCTGCCTCTGGAAATGGGGCAAACTTTCTTCAGTTAAAAACAGAAATAGAAGCGACGGTCTTGACCCATTTTACACTTATTTATTTCAGGCTCTCACCACACACTTGTTCATGGGCGCAGCAAGAAGAGAGATCCACAGAGCTGGAGCCGTGAGGGCTGACATATTGGAATGAAAGCTGGCAGAATTCGTAGGGAGAGCTTTGCCATCCTGCCAGCTCCATATCTGGCTTCAAGACAATTCTATTAGTGAATTAATTGTACTCAAAACCTGAAATTAATTTGAACTGAATGTTACTAAAAAGATTAAAGTGACCCAGTCTTGCTTCATCCAGAGTTATTATGAAGGAGCTCTCTGGCCTGACCTAACTCAGATAGAGGGGGTCTCTGTCCACATGCCACCTGGTCACAGAGGCCTTGTGACCACCCATATGCCCAGATGCCACTCTCGGTCCCCTTAGTGAGCTGCTATTTTTGTAAGAGCAACAGTCTGTTTGTTGGTCTGACTCCTGGGAGAATGGAAGCTCCATGAGAGCAGGGCCTCTGTCATGTCTACGCTGTGTCCCCAGCACATAGGACAGAGCCTGCACAGCGTGGAGTCTAAATAAATGCTGCCCAATGGGTCACCTAGCACTGCATCCTTCCTGAACATTTTCCTTTTAATTTTCCTTTTATACATGACTTCTAAAAATGATAAAGCAGTGAAATTTGGGGAGAAATATAAAAATTTTGTTGTGATTGAAATGACTGTCAGACTAGTAGAGGGTGTTCATAAGAGCACATCAGGATTTGGAATTATGAATTATAAAACTTACTACATGTTATGGTATCCATGCCTCCTGATGAAGAAACAGATGCAAGAAAAACATGAGTCATGTCTGGAATATTTTAATATCAAGACATCTAATGAGAGTCTAGAAAGAAACATTGAAAAATAAAATAGGGAGGTATGGGCTTCCCTGGTGGCGCGGTGGTTGAGAGTCTGCCTGCCGATGCAGGGGACACGGGTTCGTGCCCCGGTCCGGGAAGATCCCACATGCTGCGGAGCTGCTAGGCCCACTTGAGCCATGGCCGCTGAGCCTGCGTGTCTGGAGCCTGTGCTCCGCAACGGGAGAGGCCCGCGTACCGCAAAAAAAAAAAACAGAAAAAAAAAGAAAAAGAAAATAGGGAGGTAGAAAATAAGCAGACATTAAAATCTTTTCTTGATATTTAATCATTTAAGAGAATAAAATTTGGCATCAAGTAAACAAGGTAAACCAAAATATTTCCTAGATCAAATGGGCATTAACAAAGATACAGAGGGAACTTGAAGGTATTTATTTAGATATTAGTAACAGAGTACTTTTGTTCCAGATTACCTTCATGAATGTGACAGGGACTCCATCTTTATTCTTTGTGTGTTGGCATAGGCTGGAATACCCATGTTGTTCTTGAAGGTGTTGTTCTTTGAGGAGGTGGTTCCTTCCCTCCCTCCCTCCCTCCTGCCTCCCTCCCTCCCCCCCCCCCCCCCCCCCCCCCCCCCCCCCCCCCCCTCCCTCCTCCCTCCCTCCCTCCCTCCCTCCTCCCTCCTCCCTCCCTCTTTGCCCCCTTCCTTCCCTCCCTTCCTTCCTTCCCTCCCTTCCTTCCTTCCCTCCCTCCCTCTCTCTCTCCCGCAAAAATAAAACCAAGGAGACAGTATCCTGTGATGTGGGCTGTTATCTCAAGGTGAGTTTATTTGTGGCACCAGCTCGTGACGAATTGTCTAAAGAACTGAAACTTCTTTTCAGGTGTAGTGTATTTTATTGGTCCAATTTTGTCCATTTCAGTGTAAACTTCAGTTATTTATTGGACACTGAAGGAATCAACTAAAAGCAGAAAAAGCAGGACCAATTGAACTGGCATTTTATGTCACACAGAGAAGTAACCAGCATTTCTGATCAAACAGTAAATATGTTTCAGTTCCTTTTAAATTAAGTGTGAAAAGCCAAGATTTTTATGATTTTTATGTACCACAAAGCAAAACAAAAACCCCTTTCAGGTCATAATGCATTTTTCATTAAGCTGATCACTGAACTCTTGATGTAATCTTATCGTCGCATGGAAGTGTAAGAAGTGTGAATTCTGGGGTGAAGAAATAATTGCAGAAGGGGGTTAATGAAGCAGAACTCACAAATCTGAATTTATAGTCTTGTGGACAAATAAATCATCGGTGGAAGACACAAATGTAAAGAAAAATTCTTGATTGCCTTCAAGAAATGCAAGTTTGAACTTTTTACTAAAATAGAGTTTTACAGCCTCTCAGAGGGATGTTGTATTAAATAAGTGTAATGTACTCAGAATAGCAACCTAGGGCGTAATGAGCACCGGTAAATGTTCGCTATTTATTCTTACAGGGATTTTCGTACAAAAGATTAAATCATGTTTTAATCATGCATAATAAACTACTATAATTTTATTATGGTACATGTCCACTGGTAATTCAATGAAGAGTGGCTTTTTAAAGCAACGAAGAAGTGAAATGTTTTTCTTTGTGCTCTTTTGTGTACACATGTCAGAGCTGCTGGGACATGTTATACAAATGACAGCCCCAGTGACAAAAGAGGCAGGAGCAAATGTGTAACTCTTAGCTCTATTTTGAAATCCATTATTTTCATAAATCTGAAGAGTTGGTTAACTTACTGTTTTTAGCCTACTCTGCTGCGTCATATGTGTACTTCTAAGTTTTATGGAATTAAATAGAAATTTATGACTACCAAGTCCTTAAAGCCCATATCAAATTTGTCCTTTCATTAATTTGAAATTTAGCTTTCATTCAACATTCCTGCAGTTCAAAATGTGTGACTTTAGAATTTCAAGAGCGATTACATGAGTTAGTGCCCTCTGGTGGCACACAGGACATCAGGCAGAGAGGGTGACCCATGAGCCTTCAGATGGCTCTTCTAAAGGGGAGCCACCTTATAATTGGTTATTTCTGAGCTTTCCTTTTGGTGGGTTTTGAAAAGTTGCATGGTGGTTGGTTTATGCCCACCTGTGATTTTGTATTTTTCCCGTGTGTGGTGCTTGTCAGTTTCCTATTCCGTGGAGCTGTGGCCCTGAGTTCATTAGAAACAGCCTTTCAGGGAGCCTCCTTTATTTATTTATTTTTTTATAAATGTATTTATTTATTTATTTTTGGCTGCGTTGGGTCTTCGTTGCTGCATGCAGGCTTTCTCTAGTTGCAGTGCGTGGGCTTCTTGTGGTGGTTTCTCTTGTCGCGGAGCATGGGCTCTCGATGCGCGGGCTTTAATAGTTGTCGCGCCCGGGCTCAGCAGGTGTGGCACGTGGGCTCTAGAGCGCAGGCCCAGTAGGTGTGGTGCACGGGCTTAGTTGCTCTGCGGCATGTGTGATCTTCCCGGACCAGGGCTCAGACCCATGTCCCCCTGCATTGGCAGGTGGATTCTTAACCACTGCTGCCATCAGGGAAGTACCCAGGGAGCCTTCTTTAGAAGCTTAGCTTGTGGGTCAATTTCTGGGTTGAAAACATTTTCAGGTGAACTTGCTGTAAGAAGGTATACCAACGTCAAGGTTTTCCACGGGGCACCAGGACATCCATTTTTAGATGTATCTCTTAACTTGCCTTCTCAAGAAGGGGACCATGTCACTTCCTGGACTGATGGCCTTTGGGTGACTCACTGGTACGGCTGAGATGAGCCTGCCCAGTAGATTAGTATTACGTGGACGTCCGTGTCCCGTTTCCATCTTCCCTAGAGGGCAGCCCCCCCTTTCCCACTTAGGTCCCCTGGCCAGACCTGGTTACGCTTTGGGCTTTGGGCTTTGTGGTCAGGCGGACCAGGAACTGGATCCCACCTCCACCTCTGAAAAACTGTGGGATCCCCTGGGAAGATTGTTCTTTTATGAGTTTCTTTAGATGTCAGGTAGGACTGCTGCTGCTGATTCTAACCTGTGTCAAGAGATGGTTGTGAGGTTGAAAAGAGTTGATATGTGAAAAAGTCTTATATTGAACTGCACAGAGTGCTATTAAATATGTTAGCTTCCTTTTCTTCCTCAAAAGCAAGCTCCTCCCCCCTTTTAAATTTAACAGATCATTTCGAAAAATGAACTTTTAATTTTGGAATAGTTTTATATTTACAGCAAAGTTGCAAAAATGGTACAGAGTTCTCATATACTCCTTACCTAGTTTTTCCTGCAAGCCTCACTTTTATACTGTTGAGTTTTCCTGATAACTTTTCATGTATAATCCCTGTGAACTTTGATCAAATTAGGCTGTAAGTGCCAATTCACTGCTTTGCTAAGACTGAAATGATGGCCTTGAATACCTGAGTTTTGCTGTAGATGTGGCATTTGCTTCCAAACCCTCTTTGTGTTTTTATGTTGGTCCATGTCTGTGACCGTTTGACATCAGAATACCTTCTTTGATTTTCCAGGATCTTAGCACCTAAATAGTTTCCCTGTTTATGCAGTTAATGAGCTGTGCAACCAAAGGAAAGACGAAATAGGCAGTTTATGTCATTATTTCAGCTGGGCATTTTTGCAGTCTCAGGGCTACTTCTCACACCATCAGTTTAAGTCAAGGTAGAAGCACATGCATTTTCAGTCCCCCCCTTCCCCTAATCCCCCAATATTTCTAATATTCAGAAATACAGGAAGAAACTTGCTGGGTTTCCCAGTTAAAAGTTCACGGGCTAGTTTTAATATATCAGTAACCTATAATTAGCATTATTATATAAACCCAGAATATCAGCAACTCAAATTTTATGTGCCTTTACGGTTAAGCAAATGATTTCACAGACATGTTATTTGGTTTCTTAACAACCCCGAGAAAGAGGCAGGGAAAGCCTTGTCACCCCTGGTTGAGGTCACATAGCAAGAGTTGGAGTTGAAGTTCAGTAGAGGCATCCTGCAGATAGAGACTGAGCCCCTCCAGCCCATGTCTGCCTGGTACTCCTGCAAGGATGTGGCTGTGAAAATGCTCCTTTCCTCCCCCGTTTAAATTGGCCAACTTCCACCCCAGTGATATTTGTGCTTTTAATATGCAAAACGCTTCTTCAGTACTTAATTGACAGTTGATGTGTTTTGTTTCAGCCCAGATCCTTACTGAGTGTCGTGAAATCAGCAACATTAGGCCTGATTTAACAGAGTCTCCCTATGCTGTGCCTTCAGGGGAAATAACTGGTCTGTGCCGTCACTGGGTCTCCACAGGCCCCAGTATAACTGCAGCTTCTTCTGAGGCGGCATCCTGTTTGTGATCTTTGGGTACACCCTGTGCTGCAGAGACACCTTGACATTAGGGACACGAGCAGCATCTTTCCTACAAGAGTCACTGAGATATTTGAATGGGAAGATGATGTAGT